AAGAAGTAATCATCGATCGATGATATTATCAGCATTATTATGGGATATTATTACTCGTAAGTAATATCAAAAGATATTCTGCAGGGTACAGGCAATTCGTTAATTTTCGTTACCTTCACCAGGCAAGAAAGTGAATCTCCTATAGCTAGCTTCTACTAACAATATACACCCGATAAAAGCTATAGTATACTTTACTAGCTGACGTTGCGAAGATGTTATTTCGTTATTGATAGTTGAAATCAATTATCAAAACAATTTCTAACAGAAACCTTGGACTACTTTCGATATTTTACTTGCAATCAAATTGCGGCGATTCCATCCTCTGCAACAATTATGAAAATATTGTTGTTGGTCGATATATATTTTATTTATAGATATTATCCTATAAATATCTGCGAGAATGATACAGAACATGTAGTCAGGAAAAATTACAACTAATTATCAACCTATCTCAGCTATTAACGTCTTTTATGATTGGATAATTTTTGTTAAATAAAGACTTCATATCACAGTAGCAAAAGGAGTAACGCACAACGCATTGATTAAATTCACCATCAAATTAAAATTTTTCTGTTCGTGTGCCACTTAATTTCAGTAGATGTCCGTCAGCAAACCATATCTTTGTCAATGACGTAAATAATGAAATTTAGAATACAGGAGTGATGAATGTCACAATAAAGTATAAATATCAGACGGAATGGAAGCTATATTAACTATTTATACTTACTAGGGAGTTAATGAAATGAAATTAAATAATAAGCTGCTTGCAGCCAATGCCAAGATCCGTCGAATTTTGGGTCGACAGAATTAATATTGACGCGATATTTTAAATTTTATAGCAAATTTTAGTAGTTTAGTATTTGATAAGTCAATAAAATATAAATAATTTCGTGAAAAAGTTAATGCCCAATTTCTAAGTATTGCCGTTATCGCATTTAGATAGACAGTGCTAGTTCGGGGGCAGCTATTAAATCTACGTGAGTTACAGTTTATCACTGCTTGTTTCTTTTGATAGCACAGGAAAATAAAAATACTATCATATTGCTACTCGTGCAGTTAAAATCGCCAAAAAATGACCTCATGGATTTCATATCTCCTATTTTGCTTGCTCAACGCAGTTCATATGGTTAAAAGCCGTTCTGTGACATTTTAGTTACATAATAAAATCATCAAATATGTCTTAAAACTTCGGCCACATTGTATTCTCTTAATTAAACGATTATAAACAGTAAGTTTTGCAGGATGAGATAGTTCTCACTTTTGCAATTTAGTCTTGTTGCTTCTGCTAAGGTCACTAATTACTGAATGCAATGTTCTTACCAAATTACAATATAAAATTTTTTTATAAGAGAATACTTTAAAAGTTTGAAATCGATGAACACCTGTGATAGACTAATTAGGCTTAGTTGGATGGTCCCAATCTTAACTTTTCTCTACCACATTAAATAATATCAATCACGGCAAAAATCTACCATTAAAGGACAATAAAATCAATTTTATGACTTCCATTTCATGCAGCCGCTGCACAAGTTGTTTACAATGAAATTTTGGAGGTTTAATATTATTTTCGTAGCCTATTGATCCTTCACTCCTCTACATTCATACATGTAGGCAGAGCTAGCAGTTGAATTTTTAAGTATGTTGGCTATCTAGTAGTCATTAAAAATATTAATGTAAAGTAGCTTGATCCCTTTCACAATAGTTTGCGTAGATATATTATTATAACTATCCAATACATCGGTTACTTGTTTACTAAGTATAATATAAATTTCAGTATGTGTATATTACGGTATATTACTACGCGTACTTGAAGGTACTTTTAATTTAAAAAAATTCGAAAAATATTGTTGCGATATAGATATTGTCTAGATATGGTTTATCCCGGCAGTAAGGCTTGAATGCCATGGTGGAATAATTTTACCAAACTTCAAAACTGCTAAATTTACAGGCAATATGAATTTTGGTACGACACTTTTTCTCTTCCATTATGGGCATAAATATTATTGTTAAAAATAGACAGAGAGATCAGATAGTTTTACAAAATCAGTCTAATAACGTATTAAATAGATTGTTAAGATATAGATATTGGCTAAATATGGTTTGTTCTTGTAGTAGAGCTTGAACACCATAGTGGGATAATGTTATCAAAAACTTAGATATAATATGAGTTTTACTATATTACTTTATCTACTATTATGTGTAATAGATAGAGATCAGACAGCTTTAAAAGTTAATCTATTAACGTGTTCAATGATTTGATCAGTACTTATTAAAATTTCACAAGGATTATCAATAATGAGATCATTGTATTAAGGATCAAAAAGAAGTAATAATGATGACTATTCTTTGGTAGAAAGCTTACGACGTTCGCTGTAGGTAAAGAAATATTCGCTTATTAGTCAAGATTAGCCGGTGATATCTTTCGATCAATCGCTTTACATTTTAGAATATATTCAATATTAATCATAACTTTTACATTGAATTTCACCGTCATATTCTTTCAAACTAAATGTTTGGTCCTAATCTAACATACCGATTGGCACATTAAAATCTCAAAGTTTACTATAAAACTTTAATAACAAGATTGTCTACTACGTCTCTAGCATTTCACGTTAATTGTCATCCAGTTGAAGCTAGGAATGTGACATTGTGGTAGTAAAGTTATCTGGATCAATATTTGATGATATTGTTCTCGTCGTAGTAGAAGGAGACACGTACTGTATAAAATTCAAATCGGGATCAGTGTGTAATGTTTCTAATCAATAGGTTTATCCAATAGAATAACATAAATAATTCATTTTATAAATATTATTTCAGTGAATCAGTATTCGGTATACATCGTTATCTAAAGTTTAAATTGCTTAATTAATTATGTAGAAATAATTAAGAAAGGAAAATAGAGTGACAATTCCATGATACGGATTCGGCACACTAATCATTAAGTTCGAATTTCTTAGTGTAAATGTGGAAACGATACTTTATAAAAGAAAAGACAGCATGATAATTCTTTGATGAAAGTTGTGGATTTTTAGTAATTATCTTATTACGAATTTTTTTGTGATTTCTTAGCCTAACTTTGATGGCTATTATTTTTTGCAATAAGTACACGTATAGCATTGTCTTTTAAAATCGAATACGTACATTGTTGTATCTTAGAAATAGAAATAACGTAATTGAGGATAGATATAAGTTTCAACTATTGGTCGATTATTCATATCTTAGACGATTTCTAAAGATTTAAGATTTCTAAATGAATTATTATTTCGTTAATGTAGAAAAAAGATACAAGAATTATGTTTTAATAATTAAATAATAATCTATATACGGTCGCTAATAAATAGCAGTAAAAAGTGTTTTATAATGGGTTGCGAAATATACTATATTAGGAGGTAGTAACTTAGCACTATTAATCAATGTTGCGATTCTTTGCCATCTTGATGACATAATAATCATATAAGTTTACGAAAACACTTTTGAAAATACGAATATCCGTCGTAAACATCACTTTAAATCCTTTCTTATAAATAAAAAATTTGATACGTATTTAATCTAATATCAATTATATATAATCTATATTAATTCCTTATATAGATAAAATGAAATTTAGAATACGAGTTTGCTGAATAGTTTTTCTAATGATAGTACTTAAATCTCCTCTCTTTTAGAAAATTTCACTTCAATTTATTAGAGAATGAATGCTAAAATATCGGCTCTAAGAAGAGACGATAAATGTGATATAGAATGTGGGTTTACTGATTAACTTTTCTTATGAAAGTGTTTAATTCTCTTCTCTTCTAGAAAAGATCATTTAAATTTACTGGAGAATGAATACCAAAAGTATTGACCCCAGAGACGTGCTAATTACCAGAAAAATGACGTAAAGTTCATTTGTACTGTGATTTTGGCGTCATTTTCCATGGAATATCCAATAAGATACGCGGATATGTATCTCCTATGATAATGTTAATGTTCTTCTGAAATGTACCCGTGATAATAGTTTCTTTTTGGATAAAATAAATACGTAGATTGATGATAAGATCTGATCTCAGACCCAAACTGTGCTTATTGAAACAGGTATTATCTCCAACGAACGATCAGTTATGTTTTTATCTCATGTCAAAGCAGACCCAAAAACTAATGTAATAAATCGAGTTAATAATTTTTATAATTGAATGACAAAGCCTAGAGTTAGTTAGGGTTGGTCTATCTTGAATCAACTCCATAGACATTCCTCGTGTAAGTCTAACGCTCAGCGCCTCTATAAAGTAATGAGTTCAATGTTGATTTAGTTGCATGCCTAGGAAGTATTATTATCAGGTTAATTTCTTTCTCTAATTGCTAAATTGGATGTGTCTACAACGTATTGAATGGAATGCCGGAGATATTGTCCATTGTTATCAGTGGATTAATATAAGTACGGGAACTACGTATAACGTAGCAAATAGTTATGATTGAACTTTGTTTTGCTACTGGTACCCGCCTGGTCAGTTATGTCAATATAGAATAAGTCAGGAAAAATTATCGTGTGGCGATATTTTCTACGTAGAATTAAAATGCAAATTATGTAAATTATTACCGTATCATGGTCCGCAATAATTGTGGTTTTAGTCATGTATTATAATATGCACTAGATATACATATGATAATTCTATTTGCTTTAGGCGGGAGGGAAATGATTGTAATTTATATTAAGTTATTAGAATGGTAGTACTCAGCATGATACTTACGTCATTAATATTGCTTTAGCTGGATTAATCATTTGATTCCATAAAGACTATAAGGGTCTAAACAATCTTAACTACTTTATTTTGTGATTAGCTGGTTAACGATAAGTATCAACTACACGTCGATATTAATGTGAGGAAAATAAAGTAATCAGCGACAGCTTGTACCACGGTATATTCTTACATATTTTTTTCAAGGCTTGAGTTTTGATTTATTGACGATAACATTAAGGAAGAGAGACTTTCAGATTAAAATTACAAAACGTGAATGTGGTCATGGAAATTTTTCAAAAAAGTGATCAAATCGTATCCATTGTAGAAAGGTTTATAAGTAGTCCAGATAAAACAGTCACAGATGATCAACATGATATCACGTACAGTTTAATGCAAGAAGAAGATATTGCTGAAGCGGCAAAAGTAACTGGCATTTGTTATTCTAATTACGAGCCCATGAGTGTTGCACTGAAGGTAACAGCCGCTGATCATTTCCTATTTTCTCGAGAATTTTGTAGAATTGCTGTAGGTACACAATATGGAATTGTTGCGAAAAACTACTCTGGAGAAATTACTGGATGTTTAATTGCCTTTCCTTACGGCACAGTACCCGATTTAACAAATTATACTAACGCCGAATTGGCTATGATTCAATCGCAATACGATGCTACATTGCATTTGTTAGATAAGTTGGACTCTTCCATACCGGCAGAATTGTTGGAAAACGATGGTACAATCATGCACCAATTTATGATTTCTGTCATGACAAAAAATGCACGTAAAGGAATCGCTTCTATCCTAATATCGTTATGTGATGCTTTAGCCAAACAGAATGGCTTAAAGTATAGCGTATGTGAGGCACCATCATCCACTTCTAAGAAAGTCTATTCTTTGCTGAATTATAAAGAGGTTCATCGCATCGATTATGCTACCTTTACGCATGGTGGCGTTAAAGTATTTTCCTCCATACCCAAACAAGGCTCTAGCGCTTGCACATTGATGATGAAAGATCTCTGGATAGCTTAAGCGTGGGCTAATTAGATTATGGTATAACATTAATAATAAAAACTAGTATAACGTACGAACATGTCTATGTTATTTAGATTTTAATTGACGGTCATCTCGATTTAACGGTTTGGCTAATTTTCTGGCACGATAAAGTCTCCGTTTGTCTTCTGATTTGTATACTTACTCGTATACACAGGTTTATAATGCAGTACAGTCTATCCTATCGACATGCATATTAATTCATTGCCTTACAAATAGTACTTTAATAGGAAACTTTATTCTTTTGCTTTAAAAGTATTAAGAGCATTACTTTCGATTTTGTATACTTGTTAGGTCTCAATTATTAAACTTTTAACATCGATGCCAAGTAGAAATTGAATTTGATTCTTTTTCTACGCGAATTTTACAGCATATTGTAGCACATTTCATTGTCGTCAGAGATAGAAAAAGTGAATTAGGCAATTGGTTTGCCGTTTGCTCTCGGTTGTACTATGCACTCAAAGTCAATTTTTTTTTTACAAAGACTACTTTTTTTCTGTATAGAAAAGGATAGGTTATAATATAGTCCAATTTGATTTTTGCTTAAGGTACCTATTCCCTTTGATGAGTGAAAATTTAGGGCTTCTTATTCCTACGTGCAGTGCAACGGAAGTACCGTTCTGTCGTTTATAGTACTGTACTTGCAAGTGCAACTTTATGTTATTAAATAATATCTCCTACAGCGATTTGATCGATTTTCAACTTTATCATTGCCAATATAAAATGTATGTATGTGTCATTTGAAGCAAAAAGGGGAGATACTTTGGAAATAAATTCAATGTTAGTTTAATCATAGTGAGTGTTGAATTGAGGGATTTTGTGTGAAATCAGTGAGAAGGAGAAAAAAAATCAGTAATCGAGTATTACTGGATAACGTTAATTAATTGAGCTTCCTTTCATCCTTCATGATAATACTGTATAGCGGAAGATAATACTGAACGCCATTCGTGCTATTTATTATTATTCACTTTATAACGCCTGGGGCAGTAGATACTACATTATTCAATTCATACTGCTTGCTTCTCGTATTCAGATCGAATCAAAGTCTCGTCTATTCGAGTTCGTTGGTGTCCTCCGATGTACTGCTATATATGTCATACAGTATACAGTAGTATGACGATATATAATGCGATCGTATTAGCAAGTTATCATTCGACCACTTAGGACATTACTTTAACTTTTAAACTCGATCAGAGAAGTAGTACAGATGATTGAATGTACTCTAAAAGTCTTGTTCTAGTAGTGACTTAACAAGAAATCGAATGCTACATTTCGATTAGAAAGTATCGATAGCTGCAATTTTGTTTTTATTCATTTCGACGTGTTATTGTTATGATAGATTCATTGTCCATCGATCATGAAGGAGGCTCCATACTATACTTGGCTGTACCCTTATTATTATGATATGGATGGGGAAAAACAACAACAAGCATTAATCGATGGTTGACATTGCGCATGTACCTTTTAAAAGCCTCCCCGATGTATGTACCTTGGCATGGCCAATTGGCCATAGTCTTTCATGCTTTCCTTTTTCCCTTCTTTTTTACTCGAATAGGTGATTGATATAGGAAAGTCTTTAACATCATGAGCAATAGCAACGATTTTGAGGGGTTTTCGATATCTCTATGCTTCGGAACAGTTTGCAATCTCACACTATTACTATGACAAAAATTGTCACAATCAGTGAAGCACGCGACGGATTACAGTTAACTACTTTTAAATTCAGTACTCAAGCACTGTACTCTAATTGGATTTACTGTGCAGTTTCGTAATGTACTGCGAAGTCCTCTGCAGCTGTTGCAGTGAATAGTAGAATGCAAAATTATACTAGTTCTGTCCTTGGTTGACAATCGATCATTACATATGGCTATTTACTTCATAGAAAGTATTCAGTGTTATAACTATCTCTTTTCTCTTATTTTATCAAGAAGTACCTGGTTATAATTAATGTATACCTTAAGGCTAAAGGGTCTACCGCGACAACTAATGTAGTATAATTAGGCATTATCGTCCTTTCATCATTATTTATTTGGGAATTATTTATATGATTTATTTATTTTTAATATAATCAAGGTCATTGTCATGGTATGACTGACCCCTAGAGGTTTTTTTAAAATGACCTATGCTATACTTGTGATCTTTTATCCGAAAGCCGTCATCTTCGGATGGCGATGTTTTCGCTTTGTCAACTGCTAAATTGAATCTTGGAGCTATGTTTCTGACTCATTTTGAGATCTATTTTATGTTATGAATGATGTTAAACTAAGTCGTTGCAGAGTTTAGATTGCGACATTTTAGCTGAGTTGTTGTGTGTGTTATTGGCTAACGCTACCTAAACCGTTTTCGTTGGTATGCATGTTCACTTGATAGTAATGTATTGTATACTTCAAGAAGATATAGACTGGAGGTTACAGTAGTAGAATGAAGAGTAGAAGCACAGAATGAAAGTTTCGACGAAGAGTACAGTAGTCTCTTTGCCGTGAGACTTTCCCGTTACAAATGTCGAAGTTAGTGGAACCATGGTGTATCAATGTACAACTACATCATGACCACTAGTACTGTACAGCGGTGCTCCATGCAATCCCATTATTGATTGTTTAATGGCTTTTCATCTCCATGAATGCTGTACTGTGTACAACTGGACATGTCGGTAGTCGAAATAAAATACTGCAAAACAATGCAGATTGGTTATGGAAACACTACTACTAATCTACGAGTCGTACACATGTATACTTGATGTACTGTATAGGCTGGGAGTTGTACGACAGTTTTGGTCTTTAGAATTGCCTATCCATAGCCAATGCAGGAATGGACACTTTCGCTGAAACGAATGTACGAGTCGTACACTTGTATACTCAATGTACTGTATAGGCTGGGAGCAGTACGACAGTTTTCGGCTTTAGAATTGCCTATCAATAGCCAATGCAGGAATGGACACTTTCGCTGAAACGAATGTACGAGTCAAACACTTGTATACTCAATGTACAGTATGTATAGACTGGGAGTTGTACAACAGTTTTCAGCTTTAGAATTGCCTATCAATAGCCAATGCAGGAATGGACACTTTCGCTGAAACCACTCTGCCCCAACCAATGGAGGGAAACAAAATTGGGACGGGATGCAAACCTTACAGCGCAGACTACAATAGTTTCTCAGTCAGTGGTGTACAGTACAGTACAGAACTATCTACTGTTCAAAAGGCACATGGAGCCCATGAATGGCTAAACATGGATACTGCAGTGTACAGTGTACAGTACGTGTTCACGTTACACTGTACTGTACAGCGTGAGTGTTTTTCGTTCCAGATTATTAATTAAATCAGTACTGTAAATGCTTTCATATTGACCAAATCATGTAAAAAGTAGTTCAAACGATAGTGCATTAGTTGAAGATTTCGAATCCGTAGTTAAATTTCTGTTTTATATATCTTTCCACACGTAACAATTTTGATGAATTTCGTTCTCAAAATGTCGCAAAACATGAGTGTTAAATTATCTAAAACGAAAAGGATCACGTTGTACAGTACAGTACAGTACAGTGTAAGAGTACAGTACAGTACATACTGTACACTGTACTGTATTACTATACTGTACATACTGTACAGTACTGTACACTGAGTATAGTACACAGTATCAGGAATCACTGCATACTGTACTGTACTGTACTGTACGTACTGTAGCTCTCGTATGAAGAAACGACCAGCATTCAAGATTCAAGATTTATATCACCAATCCTTTCACGATATCCCAACAGTTTACATGAAAATCCGGCTATTTTGTTCTAATTGGAGTAGTGTATCATAGCAAAGATGAGACTATTTACATACAGGCGTTTTCCCGTGGTTTTTTTGTTTCTATGGCTTGTTATCATTTTTGTTGCTGTAACTTATTTTATGTCCAAAGGACCTCAGTGTGATGGCTACGCAACCGAATTAGAGGCGGTTAAATTACAAGTCAAGCGATTATCGGATATGAATGATCGATTGCAAGAATTAGTACGTAAATCCAGTAACAATAATAACGGACAAGGCCTGAGCCAAAATCAAGATAAACCTAATGAAATTGTGAAAAATAGTAATGATAATAATAATAATAATAATAACCTATTTCAAGATAAGTGGTCCAATCGTCAAAATCAAGCCACAGTCAGTTACCAACGAGAAAAAGTCCGACGTCGAATTGTCAATGGTGCTAAAGAAGTCTGGTATTTTATTCGATCTGAGTTAAAGAAAGTATCCGCTGATAATAATGCTCTTAGCCAACGAGTCAATGATATGTTAGATTATGTTCTTAATCAAACATTTGCCTTACGAATTGATGGTGAAATGTTGGGTGATATTGATGGATTAAAAGAAGTACGTCACAAGAAATTAAATCAATTAAAACAATTGCTCACTGACAGACTCGATACTCTACAGAGCCCCGCCGATTGCAGTAAAGCAAGGAAACTGTTGTGCAAATTGAATAAAGGTTGCGGCTATGGATGCCAAATGCATCATGCTGTTTACTGCTTGATTGTAGCTTACGCTACTAAACGAACTTTATTGTTAGATACCAATGGTTGGCGTTATATGCCTCAGAATGGCTGGGAAGGATATTTTAAGCCGTTGAGTACTAATTGTAAGATCGGTTCAGAGTCTCAGGCTAGCCCATGGGACGGCCATAATGATGCTGATCTTCTCGTCCATTTACCTATTAGTGATGGTATTACCCGAAGACCGTCGTATTTGCCCTTGGCTATACCTAAAGATATGTCGGAAACCTTACTGACTTATCATGGACATCCATTTGTTTGGTTTGTTGGACACATGATGCGATATCTCCTAAGATGGCAATCAACTACCCAAAATTTTATTGATGATAAGAAAAAAGAGCTTAAATTTGATAAGCCGATTGTTGGGTAATTTAGATAATGACAATGTAGTACTGTACTGTACTTTACTAGAAAGCTCGATTGAAATAACCCAGGCCATTTTTAATAGATAAGATACTACTACGATTATTTATTTAATTCTATTCTATTCTTGTAGCTACTTTGTTGATACTTTAATAGTTCAATAGCACAACTAGCTACCATTACTTGAATAACTTGTCATGTGAATATTTCATAAAGTAATAATAGATTGATCATGACAAAATGCTGGTAAACACCCCTATTATTACTTTTAATATTTTAGTTAATGAAATTGTACAGATACCTTGAGAATAACAATACCAATACATAATCTTTTATTGTACTCGTTTCTTATCATCCACAAACGTAAGAGACCTTCATATTTCAATAATCACATTAATCTAGAATTCATGTCAGAAGGACCGATAAAATCAATAGTGAAGCTGCCTTACACAATATTGAAGAATACATGGTTCATGTGGAAGAGTACTACCAAAAATTGAAGAGGACAACAAAAGTGCCTGTCAAGAGAGTGTTTATTGCAACTGACGAACCAAAAGTAGTAGATGAAGCCAGAAAAAGGTGTAACAATTACTAATATCAAATATCTATTTGCTAAAATTGGCACGATATTGTGTCGTTGCAACTCGATGTCAACTTGTCGTTAAAACCAGCGTATATCCATAAAATAGTATTATCCCAAAATGATTTATGAATTTTTTAAACTAAAATTTGCGTCCTTATTTACTTGTGATTTACTATCTTAGATATAAAGATTATGTATTCGTCAGCGATGCTCAAGCCTCTAAATCGGCGGCTCTTAGTTCGCGTTATAGTGATCAATCTCTTCGGGGTATCATATTAGATATCGAGATATTAGCACAAACTGATTATTTAGTATGCACGTTTTCATCTCAGGTATATAAAATATCGAATTTTCGTTATATGGATTTTAACCAGCATATAGTGATTGTGATTTTAATTTGCCTATTGTTATTATACATAATATTGAATAGGTTTGTAGGCTTGCTTATGAAATTATGCAAACATACCATGACGACGCTTCTCAATATTTTCACTCCCTTGATGATATTTATTACTTCGGTGGACAAAATATGCATCGTCATAAGGCAATCTATCCTCATGCCGCTCGTCGTCAAGGCGAGATTGATCTAGCTGTTGGAGATATTATAGCCGTTGCTGGCAATCATTGGGATGGCTATTCTAAAGGAAGAGTACAAGGTAAAGGTTGGGATGGGTTATATCCATCTTATAAGACAGAAGACGTTCCAGATATTGGCGATTTTGCAGCCTATAATTAATGAATTTTTTATACCTACAGTCTACTAATTTTATTCGGCAATTTATTTCGTAAGATAGAGACCGTTATTGTTATATCTCTTCAGTGATTGTCTTAATAGCAGAACAAAGTATAACTGTATATACAAGTAATGTATAGTTATTCACTGTCCTTTTAGCAGCTAATGTTTTAAAAAATTTTTTCAAGACATGATTATGTGGTAGGATCATGAAATATACTAATGACTAATTTTATATCATAAAAAAATTTTATATTATATTGGCGTATACGCTCACCCTTGTTCACGAATTAATGACTCAATATATTAATTCTGACATACCAAATCTAACTACTGTGGTATAGAAAATTTCTTGCTGATGCTATAATCTATTTCTGATTTAAATTGTGACCTTGACTGGGAAATTTATACCCATGCGTATCGTAACCAAGCAGATAACTGGCTCTTGCTGGTGAGTAATTATTATTTCACGTACAGTACTGTAAGTATGTGTTCTAAAGATAGTCTTAAGTGAATACCTATTGGTAATCGAACTGGCAAATTTTCACCACTAAGAACTGAAGACATTCTGCTATTATTCCTTGGAAAGAGATGATTATTTTCCGTTGATACATGAATTATCAGTGCAAAGTTTATCGATTTCAATTGTTATAGACCAACTTACTCAGTCTTGTTGTATAAATGCGTACCTCTGAATAAAATTAGCCACCCATTTGTGGACGAGATTGTAGCGGTCAACGGTTTCAAGAAAAGCGTAAGCGTCCCTGATATGATTTGCTACAATAGGATATTTGTGTAGTAATCGCGAATGTACATAAAATTAATTTACATATCAGATTTCGTAAAAAATGACTGTAAGAAAGTCAATTTTAACGCATGCAAGACATGATGCCCGAAAAGTTGCCGACATATTTTGTAAATGATACCTTTGTATTTTATACTAGAATTAATTCATTTTACAGCTTTTAGGAATATCGACCGTTACAAGAATAATATTTATAATGGGTAGACCTTAAATAATAAACATTCGTACGTAAAGTAACGTATTGAGATTTAAATTAATACAAATCATTGAGAAAAGTAATCTTTATATTGCACCCGATTATTTTTTAAGCAATTAAGAAAAATGATAAAACTAATTTGCGTTTAATATTTTCATGATGATTCAAACATGCTTTAAAACTAATTAATTATTACTACGCCAACATTAGCCGAGTATATTAAAAACGTTTGTACTTATAGCCTAAATTAAATCAGCGTGGGAATGCCCATGTTCAATAACTATAGCATGATTAATGTTGAGTAGGTAACTAAGAAATTCAGGATAAGTAGATATGATACATGCTTGCACTGTAAGTCACTTGTAATAAAATAACTGATATTAAAATGATGAAATCAGATCGAGATACCCTTATAAGTTAGATATAGACTATTAAATTAGAAAATTTGGACTATTTATAAAATTTTAATCAATCGGTACTGTACTCTACGGGTTCATCGATGAAAGACAATAATCGTTGCTAAATAACTTTAGGTATTTCAATTCTCGTATCATTGCAAATTGAAGATCAATAATTGCGGTAAAAGCTAAACGGGTTCTAATTGTGTATAAGTATGGTAAGATTTTATATTGCAATCGTATTCGGTTTCAAGTACTTAAAAGTTGTGCGTACATCCGTAAAATAATAATTTTAAAATTGAGCTATAGTTTAAAGCGATTTCGTAATCCTGTTACATTTAAATATCATTAGATCTATTATATTATGCATCATATAGCGCAAGTTCGATCTTAATTTTCTACATGTTGATGATTTAGGAATTTTGAACATGTACGAATATTATACATTTTCAAGATTATTCCGCCAGTTTAAGAACACAGCACGTAGTATTTATAGCAAAAATGCTACTAAAAATTTTTGATTGTACATAAGAAATTGTCGTGTCTTGATCTTTGTGTATCTGTGAAAATTAGTAACAATTTTAGGTATCAGCTGGAGAAAGATATCTTCATTAAAATTCTTATAATGGCCGTGCAATAGTCTCCTGCCATTAGTGTAGATTTGCTTACGTAACCCAAGTTTGAGTTTTCTAAATCTAGTAATTCTCAATAAAAAGAGTACCGTACAGTACGCCATTCCATCGTGTTATCCACATACTGCACTATTGCAATCAGCTGGGATCATTATAACTCTACTCATAAACTAAAGTTATTACAATTTGATCCCATGGATAAAAATTACATGAAAAAACACTAACTACTCAATCTTGTTATTGTACGAGCAACTGTCTTCTGATGGACATTTTATTTAATTATATCATTGTCACAAACTTATGTTGCGAACTATTACACTAAACTAATAGATTACTTATGCCTTGTTCCACTACACCTGGAGATCTACTGTATGGTAGTTCTTTACTACTTTTGGTCACACAGGGATAAGACTGTTCTAAAAGATTAGTATAGTTTTTATTAGTAGAGTAGCCGAGTACCTTCTCGTACACGATCTAATAAGGAACTCAATATGATCCATTAGCTAAATACTGACAAAATCTATTTAATTAGCAAGTACGGTGCTTTGCTCCGTAACAATCATATTATAACACAGCTTAGATCTTTTTAGCTTGTCTTCTTGTCAATCTAGATCTCAAATATGCCTCTGTTAACAGTTAATGTTGCTGGAAGTTTACGTTGTTATTGAAAGACTAATAAATTTAGAAATAATTCCAAGATAAAGTTCAAGACTGCTACACTGTTGTCAGCCCAAGATGTGATATTTCTAACTGCCTTCTACTTGCTGGTGTAGCCATGTTGTGGTCGCTTTGGCTTTGATGATTAGATGAAAATATCCTAGACAAAAACGATGGACCTCCTCTTCTACCAGAAATCCATGAACGTTGACTGCTTGTTCTTGCTCGTGTTGAACCTGCTGACGGTAAACTGTATTTCTGCCTTATCGAATCAGAATAGCTGCGTCGTTGATTTTTAGTCTCGTAATAACGCCGCCTTCTTTCACGTTTAATACGAGCATAATTTCTAATTTGTATGTCGTATTTATCACGATTTCGATCGCGACAACAATAGCAATAAACTATCCAGCTAAAACATATAGCCGCTACAGAACCGACTACTGCAATGATGATAACCGTTAAATTAGTTGAAAAGATACATTGATTTACTTGATAAGCTTCATTTAAGCATTCGCCAAGAAATGGTGTATTTGAGCGAGCAGGCAAACTGCGACAGTAGCTGTCAGAGTTGCACCAGTAACAGCGTCTAGGATCGCCGATGCATGCATTACAAGTTTCAAAAGCTAAGCATGGATCTATAGGAGTCTGGCCTTGATTGAAATACGTCCAATAAGAAAGTATGATGAAGGATTGGGCTATCCATACTTGAGAGAGAGGTTTATACACCATATTGCCTATAGTTAGCAGAAAAATCAATTCGAACACTCTGCTTCAATAATAATGTGTAATTAGGGTGTTCTTGGAAGTACACTCTTAAATTATTCAGATCTAATAATATGGCACTGCATGTATTGGGTATTGGGATTGAGAATTTTACAATTATTAATGAAAATTTCATCGAAAACAACGTCAACTTCTAATCTAGGCATCAAACAGAATTTGATTGCAGCTACGTAAAAACATATGTTGATATCTATTAAGATATCTTGCCGTATTTTAATTTAATTTATGGTCATTTCTTAATCCTCCTTTTAGGACGATCTTTTCAAATCTTACAATAAAATTTATCTTAATCCAATCGTATTGAATGAAGACGTAAATTTATGCAAATAAGATTTGATATCGATCTTGTTTGTCTTATATAGGAAAATATACATAGCATTGAAATTTTATCTCGATAAATGCTAGCTTTCGTCATTTTGCATACAATCTTTGTACGCTTTGTCTAAAGAATTTTGTGCAAAATTATGGAGACAAATGGAAAGCCATCATTCTATGCATGATCATATGTACAGGGACGTGTAGTCACTACAAGAAGGTTTCTTTGTTAGTCTTTGAACAAAGTTAAAAGTAATTCAAACCTAAACCTGTTCTTATTTAAAAGTAAAGCTTAAGCGTCGGTCAATAAATATAGTGACTTCTACTTATAATATTATTATATTAGATCATTTTACCCTAATAATTACTGTTGAATATCCAAACTTTGGTAATATGTTTAGTAGCTCTAATTAATGGCTTCGTTTCATTTCATCATATTCACGTTTTCCTTATTTTCCTATATTATGAGTGCTGTTTATGGGAACATCCCCAATTAATGAGGTTACCAAAAACATCTGTTTAAGTATTTTGTTTCAATTATTCCAGCAGATAGGTCTTTAATTCTTATTTTATTTACGCTTATGAAATTATTCTTACAAGGTAAGTTTACCATTCATTATTTTCCCTATGGTATTAATGTATTGATGGGGATCCAAACGATTACTTGCAATAGCAGACAACACTGTAATTAGTGCTTAAAATGAGAAGTAGTAAAATTGATATCATCGACTACAGTAATAACTAAAGGTTATCTAGCAATTTAGTAGGTTTTACTGTATACTCATATTTCTAAATAAATTTAATGAATCAGATGGCCTATTACAAGATCAGCCAAGTTTCACTAAATAGGGCTATTACCATTTCAGCTGCAATAGGTGTTGCAAGATGATATGGAAAAAAATATTTCAAATTTTGACCGATGAAAATGATGTTTTTAAACATTCAAATATGCCTTGTAAATAATATAGATCATAATACGAGTATTGTTATTTTCAAAGTAAAGAATGAAATATAACGATAAAGAAGGCCAATATATCGTATAAATAAACCAATTTATGAATAATTTTTAACTAATGAAACATTTCTTTCAACTGCAACGTTACAAATCGAAATTTGTAAAGAGATAGATTAAAATTACAGCATGAAAAGTAAAGAGACCATACTAAATAAGATATCTTATGAGAGTGTAAGGTTGATAGATCAAGAATCTTCAAAAGTTTAGAAAATTAAGATTTATTGAATAAAACCTGTTTTACGAAGATACAACGTAATCGATTAGCTGAGGACCTCTAACGATAAAGAACTAGCTTACTATACTAAACCACTCGCCTATATACCTTTCCACGTTTACAGACTTAGCACCTTACTTACTACACACTTCAGTATTAGCATCTCAAATACAGGATAGTTTACACCTTTCTTGTGAAGCTCTAGTGTGAGCACTGTAGCGCTTCTCTTCAAAAGGATTACAGTTACTAAGCTAGCTATATTTCATACTTAAGCTTCTAACGAAAATATCTATCACATGTTGAACACAACACCTACGGTAGACATTACTAAATATATCACCAACTTAGAATGCATTATTACACTGTCTTACAGAGAGCAATACGATTGCTGTACGAAAGTTATTCGGTAATAGGCTTATTCTAATCTTGCTTAAATAGATCGTTCATCAATCAGCTAGAATTAAAATTAGTCATTTTCGACGTGAAAAACAAGCATAATGACTTTGACCTAAGTGGATATCTAGAATTATGTGTAATAACATGGCTTGTAAGACTAATACCACCAATTTCTAGTTTGCAACGGAAGTTTTTTCCAGACAGATTCTTAAAGTCATATGCTCGAAAGCTTTCATGATGAATAGTATTACTGTATTTCTTACATTCAAAAATTAGAACTGTAAGACCTATAAGTCATAACAAAGGTCGAATTTAAGATTTAGTAACTTCTTTTTAAAGGAAGGGATACTAAGCTATTTGATAAGTGTAAGATCAATTACTTTGCAGAGCCTTGAGGCTCTAGTTGCTATACTAGGATATGTATACTGTACAGTGTAAGCCGCTATTTCAAGAATATTCACAAGTGTACCATCGGCGAGACTATAAAAAGCGGAGCACTAGCTTAGCTTCTCAGTTCCAGTTAGTCATTTGCAGGATCTTGTGACTATTATTGCTAAGAATATTCTTACGTTTTTCTTTGGTACATTTTACGATTAAGGTTAACGAAAATAAAGTAAAGTATTTAAACCTATTACTCAATAGTAGTTTTTTTATGTAGCTGAGAGTTAGTTCAACTACGATAGGTCCCTAAGTTAGTTGGGAACACAAGTACTAGTGAAGATAGTGTTTTAAGACCCGGTTTCTTGTTACAAAGAAGTAGATTAGTAACACGCATATACAGAAATATTTATATTTAAATGCTGATAAAATGTCCTTCTTGAACCTTAAGCTATTTGCAACAGAGGCAGTGTAGCCATAATAAAATTTAATCAATTTTGTTTTACAAGATCTATTATATTAATCTTTCAGCGCCCCGGCCAGAATCAAGATTTTGTTTTGATAAAAGAATAAATACAGATTTAAATTATAAACAGCTTTATTTGACCTTACAGCATTACATGAGTTGCCTGTAAATTTAGATTTCATGTACCTTCCAAGCACAATTTAAGCGCAATCACAGTATCAATACTGCAAAATGAATTTATAAATATTATATATTAAAGTATACTCTCATATATAATTTACTAGATCTTGTTACATTTATTCTTCAGGTCAGTTTTTAGAAATTATTATATTGTTAATTACTAAGCTACTCTTGATAAATCTTACAGTATATAATCCTGACAAATACTGGTCGTGATGGTATTGACATACTGTAGGGGCATTCGTACATTTTTATTTCTGAAATTGTAAATAAGGTTATCGCAAGATGCGTACATCATAAATGCAGTTTTCTATCACTATAAAACTATAGTATAGCGTGAATGACCGAAATTTTAGAGTAAAAACTCACTGATGACATGTTATTCTGATTACTATTTTTTTTGTTGTTAACAGCTGCTCGTTTATCTTTACTTAGATGTAGTGGTAGCAATCAAATGTTATTTGAATAAGAGTAGTAGTATGAGTTAAGAGATTTAATCCATCCGATACTGAATCATAGGAAGCAGTTTCAGGCAGAAAACTAGAGTAAAATTTATAAGTAGTAAATAGAAAATTATACTATTTTGCCCTATTTCCTGATTGTGAAGGCAGGTTGTAATATTATTCAAGATATGAAATTAAATTGGTAGCGAAATAGTAAAATGTTAAATAAATATTTTGTATCAAAGACGAGGAAGATGCTTACACTAATGAACTAATAACAGAATCGTCGTCGTTTAATTTCTTATATCGAAATAATTTCATTTTAGCTCCAAGCGATGACCGACTGGAAGTGATCCTATTTGGATCTTCCCAGGAGAAGCTATCATCCGAAGAACCTCTAGTCAAACCAGCAACAGATCTGAGCTTATATTTTGAACGAATAGATTCGTGAATTTGTTGGCTTTTCAGTCTTGACTGCTTGGTCTTCTTACTTTGCCTATTGGGTGTAGTGATTTTAGGTAATGATGTGACATTTTCTCTTGATTGGTAACGACAACAGCAACAGTAAATGATAATAGTTATACCTATTGCTACGATAACGATAGCAACAGGAATAAGGTAGACAAATACACTACCATTGATGATACATTGGTTAAGATGCCATTCATCATTAGGACAATCTCCTGGATAGGGATGAGTTCTTCCCGTTGGCAACATTCTACAAGTATTATCATAGTTACACCAATAACAGCTGGGATGGCTATGAATACATAAATTACATGATCGTCTAGCTTGTTGACCATTACATCTGTTGGCAAATGGAGTAGGATAAGATGAAATAAATATCCACCAAGGAAAAGGGTTATCATTATTATTTCCCTGACTAATAACACCATAAGAGAAATTCAATAAAACTATAAAGTTGGTTATCAGTGACCTAAAGTAAGCCATTTGTTCAAGAACATAGATTACATACGGTTTAATTATCTAAAATAGATAAACTTTCGAATGCAATCCTTTGATATCTCAGCGATTTAGGCAAGAAAAATATGTTTATACTCTAAGAAGACGGTCTGTCTAAATTTAGCACCTAATTTAATTATAGTTGGCACTTTTCGTCATCTTCAATATAAAGCACACCTTATTGCATATAGTTTACAATATTTTTCCCATTATATTAAAAGTGATAGAATATGTAAATCAATATGGTGAAATGTCTTTTATGATAGTTACAGTATGCTAAAAGTTTTATCTGAATCACTGAAATCTGTTTGGACGTAAAGTAAAAGTTGATAATCTAGAGCACCCTTGAAATTTTTAATTAGAATTGTAGAGATAATAATAATTTTATGTAGAAGTTATCTCTTACAACTCGAAGTTGCTTTTAAGCCGCTCATATGGATATTGAAATTATAAAATAATCGCTAAATGAAGGCTACAAAAATTACTAAGATTTCTATCACAAAAATGCAGACTCTGTAATAATTATGCTTCTCTTGCGCTACTAAATTAAGGAAATTGTTTAAATCATTCTTGCCGATATCAAACAATCTCAGTTGATTATATCAAGGATTGTTAACGCTTTTATCGATAAAAATGCAGTCACAGCTAATAAATATATCAATTTTTAGCTAGTATGTATGTGATGATCTGTAACGATTTATAAACGCAACTGTGAACCAAATATACTTGATCTACCATGTGAAAATCATAATAACTACGGCATAATAATCAAGTTTTAGTAGAAAATTATTACGTAATAGCCGAATTCTTATCTTAACATTAAATAAAAATATCATGATAAAGCAATACAAAAGTGGCAATAGGCTTGAATTGTAGAATTTAGCGGAAAGTCCAGATATCTGAATGAAAGCATTAAATGTTAATTCAGGCTATCGTGCAAGCCTTCAGAGCTAAAATTTTATTAGAAAGTCTAAAAACTACCGCGATAAAATTCGATTCTGGCAAATAGAATATGGAATATTGTCACAAATTTCGTTTGTTACAATGAATTCTTCTTCTATGGTTACCTGTAAAACCTTCTACCGTATTGTAAATCTGTTACCAAGCGTCACTACTTTCACTACCTTCGTGAAGGACTTTAGTCAACAGTGAGAGTCAGTCTAGAAGTTTACTAGGTAATATTACAAAGCTATCTTTATTCAACTGCTATTCCACTCTAGCGCTTAAATTATTCACTTTGTATCTACAAATACGCTTCCTTATACACTTGTTCCAAACTCCACCTGCACAATCCGTTAATTATTTCCTATACCGTGATATAGTCTTTTTCTACACACATTTAATTATATTAATTATTTTAGAGCATATATATGTATTAATTAACATATTATGTGCCAAATTAAATCCGCTTAGTGCCTAAAAGATTGCATAAAAGTGTGAAAACCGCCATTTTGATTATTATACATATTTTAAATAGTACTTAACCGAAATCTACACAGTCGTTAATGGAAATCCATTATCGGTTGAATATTACAATTTTGCCATAATATTTACAACTGTCTATTTCTAAATCAATTACATTATCATACTTACTGCCTCAAACCATAACTAATATTAATAAAATATATACCAGTATGTCTTATCATATTACAATTTTAGATTTGATAACTTGTAACGTAAAGATATATTGAATATATTTGTTAGCGTGAAGTCCTTAATTCGAGTTGTTGACTTTGACTGTCGTACCTGTTGAGTTATAAACAAATAAATTACCAATAGATTTCTATCCTGATATATTATTATTTTAAGTCTAATAAATATATTAGATTCAAGTGATTTAAAACTTCATTACTTTTTGAAATTTTATATAGCTATTAATACAGAATCTTAATCTTGGAAAGTTTTCTGCATCTTTATTCATCTGTTGTATTGACATATCTACACATGTTATTTAACGGTAGATTGTAATTATTATTGTGCTATAGCAACCATTTTTAAATTAAGTGAAATAGATATTACGTGTATTAATTCTAAAATTAATTATCTTTACAGATATTTTAGCATGCTTTTACTAGTATTAAATCTTATTTTAATGTCTTTTTGAGCTGTTTCTATTAAAAAACTCCTGATATAACGGCAATTACATTATTGTTACACGTATATAATCTGCACCTTAATAATAATATTGATATAATTAGCCAGTAAAACTTTGAAACAGCATTTGCTATTCTGTTAATATTATGTGGGTAGCAAATACCTATATAACTGTCATATTAGATTATATTTAAATATAACAATTATTGTATTATTACTACTACTTTTGAACCTTATACGTTTGCATTATTTTTACGATTTAATTAAGTATAATGGATTCCAATCTTATGAATTAAAGGAATAAACGATTATGAATATGAGAATAGAATTATAATATCATGTAGTTCGATACTTTATGGTCTATTACAATATACTACACATGGTAGACAGAAATTTTAATTAATTAGCACATTTTTATTAAATTAATGTATAGAAGCATTAATAATTTAAAATTTTTCTTGAAGTTGTATCATCTATTCATCATTGCATTTTTAGTGCGATATTTTATTAAAGCGGCAACTAAATAGATATTGATTTCACTCTTTGCGATATTAGCTTCGTAGGTTTAGTTAATCTTATAAAAGTACACTTGCACGGAAGCGCCAAATACCGTTAAAAATCATTGATCCAATATATTTATAAGCTTATGGCTATTCTCAATCGCATAATCTTCATTAAACTAAAAAGCAATGAATATTAGGGTATTTTGACTAGTATACTACAATTCAGCAGGATGCATCTCGAAAAGCTTGGAATGAGATTAGAAACAAGATTTTCGAATGCGATATTAATCATTTTTTAGGATTGGTAAATAGGCACGTCGCTAGTTAATCTTGGTATCAGTCATTGCCAAGTGATTATAATTATATGTATTCTCCTATATAAAATAGAGCCAACCTTATGTTGATGAAGTTACCCAGTATTACAGATTGAAGTTGTAATTTAACAAATTACTACGTCATAGTCAACTATGTAGTTATGATTAACTGATTGTTTTAAGAATTCCTCTCTATTTCTGTATTTAGATAATAGAAATATTAAAGATTGCATAAATCTCCAGAATGTCCTTTAACCTAGAGAGCAAAAAGCGTAATCTCATTTTTTATAATTTATATTAACTAATACAGTACAATCTTCATTACCATAAAATTGAATATGGCAATTGTAATCGTCGCTAACTTCATGATACTAGCTTACATTAATAAGGCATTTTCATTCTGTCCAAGAATTATTCTTTGGATTGCAAGAGTGTAGGTATTCAATTTTTTCATTTAGCTGATTAGTAATAATTAATGGAAATCCCTACTATTAGAAGACTTCTGATCTTGTTCTATACAATATGAAAACATTCTATAATATTGGCATAATATATTGTCCTTTCTGTACTAAATCGTGTCTATATACGGATTGATATTTACTTAACAAACTGTTAATGTCATGACTAAAACTCGATCCGGTTAATGTTCGAATTAAAGCAAAAGTTTTGAATTTAGAGATTTAACCTGCTATGCAAGTGCCTAAAGTACAATTTTTATCATATTTAACCGTTCTATTTCTCTATAGAAGTGTCTAATTATACTGAATGCTTGGAAAGGACTAAACGAAGTTTGTTTTGTTTCTCATTAGCAAACAACTTTGCTTAAAGTATAGTAATTTACCACTATCAGTATTCACTGAAACATAGCTAATTCTGAATAATTACATAAGTTAAAAGTATAAAATATATGCAGTTGTTGGATTTGCACAATAATGGCTAATTTTAGGACAATCTACATGCACTAATCGATCTACTAACTGCACGAAGTATCCAAAAAATTTTTGATATTTACTGAACTGAAACCTGCTTTAGGATTGTCTTACCATTTCATTTTCTTCTTCCTTTTTCTTTGCTTTCTTTCTAAAAAATTGTATTGATTCTTCCAGCTATAATATTAATCATGATACAGATTAGAGCAAGTCTCTCGTAGAGAATTCTAATTGTGAAATTATCTGAGTTAGATTATAAAGTTAAAACCACTTACATCAATAAAATTAAAGTGAAACTTTTTGCTTATTCACTTATATCAGCTATTGAACGTAGAACTTTTCTGTCAATTACTGTTTTTAAATATAGTGTCAGCTGTAATACAGTATAATTCTGAATTAAACTAGCAATAAGCAGCAAATTTCTCTATATTGATGTAATAAAGTGTCTATCGAAACGCAACGACTTCCACAACTTGAAGGAAAATCACTTTATTACAATAATTACGTCTTCTACCAAGGACTAGATTATCTATGGCTACTCTGTCTTCGGAGATAAAATCTCCTGCTTATATACAATTGTGTACAGAGTATCTTCGTGACACATAAATCGTTATCTACCTTAATAAGGCTAACATCACACCTCTAGCGTACCTGGAGGTGCCAAGCAGTATGACTAATAACTTTTACAATCCGTATTGCAATTACTAATACAAATCTTCACATATTTAATCTCACTCTACGATCTAGCACCTATACAAGCGTATCTATCTTAATTAGCCTAGTAATTACGTCATGCACGATATTCACACATACTGTATATAATCTTAAGCTATATTTGGGCTGCACTACAATTGAATAAATTATAATTTATATTTGTAAAAAGCAAACTGAAGTTTTTATCTTTATGCTTTTAGTTTTATGATTAATTATTTGTCCTATGTAAATAAAGCTAACCTCTGATATCTTAATTTCCATTTTCCTTAGTATGGCTTTATGAATGTCATGATTCTATTGTTGAAGTTGTGATAAATTCGAGTATTTAGCTTTAGAATTATCGTACCTACTCATATTGAGATACTACCTTCTATTCGCCAGCGATAGGTAGACTAAGAAATACGCAATAGTTTAAATCAGGGGTATCAAGTTAAAATTTCGATTAAATTTACCGTTAATGATCTTGGTTTATTTACGTAAAAATTTTCTCGGCATAATACACTGTTAGCTTGTCGGTGGGCTTTGCAAAACTATCGTTTCATAATAAGTAAAAGAAAACAAATATATTTAATTCAAATTGCCTGATTCTCAAGAAAAATTTAATAAGAAATTATTTTAGAGCAGATTTATTGCTACATTAATGAACGGCCGTGATTTACTCAAGTAATGTGATATCAAAAAATGAAGTAAGACTGTACTAATGAAATAACATTATTTAAAGTTTTTTTAATAGATACAAAGTTTAGCCCTTTATAGTTGTTAGGTATAAATTGATCGAATTACAATCGAGGAAACGAATGCTTTGATACAAAATTTCTAGAGTAATGGAATAAAATAGATTTAAAGATGAATATTCATTCTAATTACTGTTATGTAGCTATTGGGTAAATTATTGTTGCAATATATTATTTAGAAGTAAACTTGATATAACTTAAAAATGATATGAAAGCTAGAGCTATTGATAATAACAGGTATATACGAGTAATGTTTATAGTAATTCAAGACTGCACATTGATTTTAGTATCGTAGAATGCAATGCCAATCATACAATTTCGTTCTCATACTAAGTTCTGTAAGGGTTAAGTGATCTTCAAAATCTTCATGTTGTAAAAAAGTTAAATAGCCTATTCAAGCATCTGCGTCACATCTGTCATTATTATTATTAGTCCCCTTTTTTTAAGATCTGTTATTGTAAAAAGTTTTTCCTTATCTGTCCGCTTGTTAAATAGAGTTAGTGTAACAGATTTTTCTTACAGTTAATTATCGTCATTAAATTAATTTTGATGTGTATATCTACATTTTGGAAAAATCATAAGAAGTTATAAGAAATTTATATCTAATGCAATATTCCGATAAGAGATAACAATCAAACGTGAAGTTATAGAATACTACAGGAAATACGAAGTCATATTACTGAAAGCATTACTTGTGGTACTTTAGGTATAAATATTAAACATAACGATCCTGTTGTCACTATAATGGTTAATATTGCCACCAAGATGACTCGCAGGGCAATATTTGAAAGAGTATGGCCAACAAGAATAGCAATTCCAGAGAAAATAGTTACGTTATAAATTGTGAAAATAATGTATTTCGAATCGTTAGCTAGGTGGAAGGGTATATTACGGGTTCTCCAAGCTAGTGACAGTCCATAAAGTAGCAAAACTCCTCCAAGAATTAGTATAATAACATGCCATAACATGACATTCTGAGTTACGCATTTATTCTTATAATAAACTACGAGGCTGTTGACGCGATATCCCTAATTCAAATATTGATAATAAATTTTGGTAAACAGTATATTTTTTCATATTAATGAAGTCACTAATTTGAAACATTTTAGTCATACTATGGTGCCGGTTGTGAGCGATTTTCTAACCAATTAGGTTAAAATAGAATATTTACCATCAGTTGGGTTTCTATTTTACTCTCTAAAATATTGGATCAATTGCAGCTTGAATAGTTAAGATTGCAGCACCAATCAGTACAATAATCAATATGACGAGGTATAATTGAGAATCCGTAATAATCTAAGAGAATCGGTAGGTTAGAAAGGGTAATTCTGTCTATAATGGAGTTATGACAGAGTAAATAGCTTATTTAGTATTATCAAAAATATAGTGTACGCTATCTATACTAGAACTAAAGTTAAGCACTTTCAGTTGTAATACTAACTCTGCTTCTAGCAATCTTATTCTGAAATATCATTTTCAATCTCCAAGTCTTTGCAAACAAGGCACCAAATACCATAAGAAAGCCTAGTACGAGAAACCAGATTCTTCCCTAAAGATGCAAATAAATACCATTGATAAACCATGGCAATCACTAAAGATTTTTATGTCGTAATTATGCTAGTATAGTAAGTACAAAAAGGACACTATTTATCTTTTAATTTTCTTTGGAATATTGAAATATATATTGGATTCTATTATGATTATATTTTAATCAATAACGAGTAATTTCAATATCATTCCAAGATAATTATATTTCTAATTTATAAGAATAATATGATAATAAGATAAATCGTAACAATTAGTTCCATCAAAATCTCTTACTCGACAAATTAATAACATCAAGTCAGTCTCATTAACGGGATCAATGTAAATGACTTGTAAGATGGTTGATATATAGCATAGAATAGCACCAATGATGATAGTATAATTTATGTTGGGACTTGCAACCTTGATAGCCCTTTTGTTTCGATTATAACACAAAATCAAGAAAATATACATCAATCCTAACAGATAATAAGTATATTTGAATTATTTAGCAGTTTATTAAATTTTATAGTAAATTTACTTAAATCTGCTTCCTTATTATCACATGTTAGCCAAACATCAAAATGTAAAAATACTATGCAAATATTTTAATACAAATACCAAATCTAGACTGAAAGGGAAAATGCGATAGATATGCACTTTGAGTAGAAATATATTAGTCTTTCTGTTTTCAGTGACATTAATAGTCTGTTGTACCTTCGATTACGATAATAGACATTTAGTAAAGCGAAGATGAGTGCCAGAAAGATACCAATAACTGCTGCGATAATAACAATAATCGTTGCGGTAAACGGAATAACGGAAAAGACTTTTGTAACATAAGGATAGTCAGCAGGTGGCTTGCGGTCTATTTAGGAATGAAGAGTTAATCATGTCTAATGTAATTACTTGTTCTTTTGAAAAATCTTTGCGTCTTTCTAATGATAAATTTTTAGTATGCAAATAGTTCCTATCAAAATCGGTGATGAAGAGAAAGTTCTGCATATATTGAGCTATATTATCGGGCCAAGGTACCAACTGATGACTTTTACCTTTATCTCATACTAGTCATTATACTAATCTCATCATCACTGCAATATACCGAATCAAAGCAGTTATAATATCGATAAGTATTACCTGCAATTCCCCAACTGATATTAATACCACTCTTCCATGCAGTCTGCTCACTTTTTTCATAATAATGCCCAAGGATGACATTTTTGGCATCTTTGAGATAATAATGAATTTTAACTACACTATAAAGTCGAATCATCAAGATATTCTAATAATAGGGTTACACACTTTGTATTCTTTGAATTACAAGAACTCCCAGACGATTTCTATTCGAGGTAAAAGAGAACGGTCCCTATTAATTCAAAGAAATAAGAGATTAGATTGTTTCCGATTCTTTAATCAGCGAAAGTCGAACTTCTAGTCAGCAAGTATCATTAATGCATTTAACATTGAATTCAACTTATCCTTTCTAAAACAAAATAATTTTAGCTATACAGTATTGTTACAGTGTTATATACTGTATTACAGTAGAAATATCAATGTTGGGATAATTCTATTAGACTATCCTTATTTAGTTAACTTCTAATTTGGATATACTGTATTTTAATATAGCACTGACTTTTTATGACAGTGACACTTATACACATACTGAAATTAATAGTTATAATAGGGAATGCAAATCATCTGCTTACAGTTCGAATCATTGTGATTGTAATTTACTTATGATAGACTGTAAATTATCATGGAAATGTTCCGTGATAGGACATATCGTAATCTGACTATTCTGTATTAGTCATTATATGTCTATGTTCGTAAATACTGTTATCTGCATTAAGGGAGCAGTAGCTAAAATTAATATCTAATTCAGTAAATGATTCTAATGTTAATTGTATTAACTATGACTCATGAACTATTGAGGAATAGTATATAAATGCAGTATATCGTGAAATAAAGAAGAATTGTCCAACTTAGTGTTTAACGTAAAATACGAGGCGTTTAAGTCTTTGTGTAGTCTGCTAGTAGAGCAAAAGTGTTTGTGATAGTGCAGATATCGTTCCTTGATACGTGGTTCAAGGAATTGACTTATTGATCGTATATTGCGTTATCTTGTTGCAAAGCTGTTTTGTGACAATCTTCTATACATAAACAGCTTTATTTCATTTAAAACACGCAAACATAAGCTTAAGACATCTTAGTCAATAATTAATCAGTTCAACAAAAGCATAAGAACTTGATTTCTATCCGGATAATATTTCATGTGCCATCTTCTCTTTTAGCGCGTAATATAGGAATCATCTTTCTTAAACTGGAAGATATCAGCAGATAATTTAGAAGGAAATTCAAGATTTGAGGGTTTCATTGTTGATTTATTAAACGAATTAAGTAAATCGTTGAAATTTCAGTTTACTTTAGAAGTCGTCAAAGATAATAGCTATGGTGGGTTTAGTCTTATTTCTCAAGAATGGAACGGAATGGTAAAGGATATAATTGACGAGGTTAGAAAACATGTCTGAACGTTATAAGATATTTATAGTTCAAATTATGCTAGGAATTCAATTCAACTCTACAAATAAATTACTGTATCACATGTTACGTGCTCACCTTTTAATGCAAAAACTGTCTAGTAATAGCTGCTTTTATTGTCGTAATTTATCTGTATCTATTTATAAATCCGACGGTGATTGAAATTGTAGAAGGCCGATATTGCTGCAGGGGCATTTTCTATCACAGTTAAACGATCTGAAGAGTTTGATTTTACAATTCCTTTCATGGATCAAGGAGTAACTATTTTAATGACCAAACCAAAGACTCCTCTAGTATCCATTTTTCGATGCTTTGCACCATTCAATCTTTCCTTATGGATTGTTATTGGAGTATTTTTAATCGTTATGGCGATCTTATTTTTCGTAGTCGGTATTCTTAACCCCTATGACTCATTCATTGACGCGGTTCAACACTTACCAATTTGCAAACGCTTAAAAGCTGAAGAAAAAAATAATGATCTGAAAAATGCACAGCAAAAATGGAAAGATGATTATGGAGAGGTTGTTGCATCCATGAATTTGGGCAATTCCTTATGGAATTCTGTGTCGACTTTTCTACAACAAGGACATGATAGACCTCCTACTGCTATATCAGGAAGAATTATGCTAGGTTCTGCATGGCTTGCTTCATGTATTATAATTGCTACCTATACTGCAAATTTGGCAGCCTTCTTGACCGTTAAAAATTTAAACTCTGGTTACAATTTCTAATTGCAGTTCTTATCGCTTCTTATTTAAAAATAAATTTGATAACTAAGTATCGAATAGTTTTGCTTTGATGCAGCAATATGAATATTATTCATACTAACTGCAATTGATTTATTCACCTGTCACAAAACAGCTTTCGCGATCGGGCCTAGTCTATTCTACCTACTCTATCCGATCACCGACTAACTTCAGGCAATCCTCTATAAGGAAAACTAACTTATTCCAATAGTAAAGAGACTGAGTCAAACGATAGATCTAGGTTAATAACTTTATTAACTTCTAGCTACACTAAGGCCTTTTCTTTTACACTAGTCTCAGGAGAACTTAAATACCCTTTCTTATTTACAGTCACTATACTTGTCGCCAATAATATTAGTTACTCCAGTTAGCAAGTCTAATTATCACACACAACAACAGCGAACAATATTTATGTCCTATTTGTTAGACCATAATAATACACGATTAATAATCAGTAGCAATAATAATATTAAGCGACCAACAATTATTGATTGCTAACTGCCTTAATACTGCGTATAGCAATTCCACACTAATAATACTTACTTCAATTACATGACAGCTATTTTCTACTACTAGGTGCTAGTCAGCATGGTCATACATGATTGTAAACAATTATTAATCGTAAACACGGAGCTACTAGCTCCGTAACATCACCATTAATCCAATTTTATCATAAAGCAAAACTTGTGTAGGAACACTTTCAAATCATGCAATGTCAATCTCTATACTGTACTACTAAAGATCAATGATCGTTTGCTTGTCTGCATGTTTGCAATTGAGTACAGTAACAACGGCATATTGTAGTAGAACTTTTGCAGCTTTATAGAAAATACAGAATGATAGTTGGGCTTATCACTACGGTATCCAGAACCTTAAATTGCCGTAGTGTTTAATGGAAATTATATGGTTAACATCATGCTACAATATAATTATGAAAACCCCAATTTAACGCACAATTGGAGCAGATGGTAAAGAGAAAAGCCTTCTTACATTAAACTTATCGTTTACGGTTATAATAATGTTATCAATCCTAAATCCCAGTAAATACCATATGCTTGCAGTACGCCGATAATAGAGCAAAATATCTTCAACATGTGTAAGCAACTATAGCATAGTTTCCTCTTACTGAATTAATATATGCTTTATTGTACCTAATTATATGTTGATTTATTTTCATTGACGGTGTACTTTCAATAGAAATTAATTCCTTGCAAGAGCTGGCTTCCCAAAGCAAAGTTAAATATGGAACAGTACAAGGCAGTAGCGTCTACAACTTTTTTTGAACGTGCGACAATGGCCCCATACAATGAAATGGCACAGCGTCTAATCAATGTTCCAAATACAGAAGCTGGTATTATAAGACTAAGAATGAAGATTATGCATTTTTATGGGATGCAGCTATAATCGCCTATTACAAAAACAAATATTGCACACTGAATACAGTTGGAGGACAATTTCGAAAAGATGGATATGCTTTAGGGTTAAGAAAAGGGTCACCATTTACCCAGAAATTAGTATTGCCATCTTAAAATTACGACAAAGTGGTTATATCGAGCATACTCTTAATAATTGATAAATTAGAAAAATATTTTCTTTTATCTAGAAAGGTGCCATAGATATTATCTAAAAGGAAACAAATGAATTTACCTTTCTTTTAATAGTTCCGATATTTAAATTTGTTGATCAGCTTAGGTTGTTAAGATATATTAAATAAAGTAAGATATGTTTAAATAATTTTTCGATACATACAGATGTATAAATATTATGCAAGACGTCTATTATATTAATTTTACCTCTCCAGTTACTATTAACCCATTTTATATAGTATAGCTTATAGCACCGAAAACGCACGTAGTAATGTAAAATATCGAATTGCGGGATCTAAATATGCATAACGTAGCTATACAGAATTATACTTTAACAGGTTAATAATGTGCACAAAATTTTTATTCTTGAGGTACTTGCGTTAAAGTTACATTTAAATCTCAGCATAGACAGGAATTTCAATTCAGTGGGTGATCCAATACATGAATATTGTGAGGTAAAATTAATAAATTGTTATATGCACAAAATACACACAAATTTTGAATCTATATAAATAAAACAGGCTACAGCAGCAATCCCAGTTTACTGATAGCTATTTCATTGGATGAATATTGCATATTGATTTTAACAGCTTCATCAGTTTGGTAATATTTTATTAACGGATTATAGGTATCAGAAAGCCGGTCAATATGTAACCAGTAAGACAACCACCAGCTACAAACAGATCGATATCAATCACTTATATAGTGTATTTGTTTTAACATTATGTGCTGCAGGTGTTAGTTGCATAGTTTTGTGTGTAGAATGGATTATAACTCTGTAACGAGATGTCGATAAGTCTGATGGCAAGTAGGTAAAGCAGTTCAACTATGATTAACTGACATATTAAGGACAATTCTAAACGTGTTTCTATAAGACTGTAATTATTTATTAACTTTATTATACAACATTGCTTATGCTATGGTAGCGCGAGCAATGTTTGCTATGCATCTATATTAATATTTTATACGAGAGTTGCTCAGAGAATAGATTATATTGTACATTAAATTTTTTTATTACCCGATTTGTATTGATATACTTTCGCTGATTTCACAGCATGATATCATAATGCACAAATTTCACTAGTTCTATCTAGGACTATGATTTAAGCTATACTATTTCACACAGTAAATTCTTACACACCCACATTAAGAGTTAAAGAATGATTACATATTAATATTATGTATTATATACTCATCTAATTTTACCTAACACTTCCATTTCCTTATTTTGGCATTACTGTACATGTTAATGCTAATAGATCAGTATACTATAAATTGGATTAAAGTTCTAATTGCATCTTTAAATTTTATTTCTTTATACTAGAAACAACAATCAATTTGGCCAGCAGTAAAAATAAGATTTACTCAATTTAAAACGGCCAATCGATTGGTAAAATCAAAGTTTATTCTTCCTTTGCAGTTTAGTATCTCCAATAACGACTACAGAAGACATAGTATGTTACAGATACATGGAGAAAAAATATCATCTCCAATAGCTTGCTGAATTTCTCCCAGCATAACTTAGTGATTGATGTTAATAAAATTTCTAACACCATTTGCTATGAATTTTTACACTATAGCGTAATGTTTGGTGATTATGTGCCTAAGTATGCCGCATAATTTAAACCTGGTATAAAGTTACCTTAACATTTTATGCAATTACAATTTATTCTTGCGATGTTCTCGAAATTTTGAAGGAAATTGCGATTTAATACCTTACTCTGTTAATGCAATTACTCTTTACTTTACATCTCATATGTAAAAGTAAGACAACACTAAATTAAAAAATTGCATATTCATCCTTTACGCGCATTTCCTAAATTTTCGATGTAAAAATCATATTGACTAGCTTACAAAAATATTACCTAAGATTAGGCTTCTGTAACCACATTCACTTGTATTTCATTCACATTTGAAATCAATCAATTTCCATAGAGTAGTTGATATTGTATGCTTTGATTCTGTAACTACATATATTTAATATTTCATAAATTTAATTCGGCAGCTATAATATAAAAATAAATGAAGTCGACGAAAATGTAACAATTGCTTACACTACTTAGTCTAATAACTTACTTTAATTTTATAATATTGAAAGTGAATGCAATGAAAGTTAATTTTTAGAACTTTTCTCAAGTTCTTGTATTGTAATTATTCTTGCCTAGTTTTTTTATTATGATAAGTATTCTAGCTTTAAAATTATGACTTACTTGGTTGATTATAATAGTAGATTTTACTTAATATCTTCTTATATTGTAAACCCAACTGCTTTATTCGGGTTAGAAGTTAAGATAATCCGTAGCATAGCTTTTGTTAAGAATCGGATATTATGACTTTGTAATTCAAGCGATGCATTTAGTAATAGGATATATGTGTTCTAATTTTGATCATTAATTACAGTAGAAGTTAATGTTACTTTGTAATTTCATACAGTATGAATCCCAAGCATTTAATCTGGAATTGTTGATTTGTCTTAGTGTTTACTATAGAAAGGTACAGTTTCAAGCTAAACTATACTTAGTATCAATTAGTTGTTTTCTTGAGTCCAGGGTATAATTTATCTTATCGAGTGTGTTTGATTGCTTTAGAATGACAGTTGGATAGTCTAATGCCACCAACTGCTATGTGTATGTGACAGTGCTATGTACTGTATTAGAGTAGAAATATCTATGTTAGGATAATTCATGTTAGCCTATCCTTATTTAGTTAACTTCTAATTTTGGATATACTGTGTTTTAATATAGCACTGACTTTTTATGATAGTGACACTTATATACGTATTGAAATTAATAGTTATAATAGGGAATGCAAATTATCTACTTACAGTTCCAATCATTTTGATTGTAATTTACTTATGGTAGATCATAAATTATCATGGAAATGTTCCGTGATAGGACATATCGTAATCTGACTATTCTATATTAGTCATTGCATGTCCACGTTCGTAAATACTGTTGTCTGCATTAAGGGAGCAGTAGCTAAAATTAATATCTAATTCAGTAAATGATTCCGAGGTTAATTGTATTAACTATGACTCATGAACTATTGAGATACTACTTTAACATTAAATTCCCTTACTGATTATTGGCGAATAGAGAAAAAGTCTATTGTAAGTCCTGAGAATTAATATTATAGCTAAGTTGAAGACCATAAATCGTAATTGCTAGGTCGTTTAGTTTATAAATGGAGAAAATTCTATTGTTAACCTTGAGAATTAGTGTTATAACTAAGTTAAACATCATAAATCATAATTTTTGGAAGGTTTAGTTGAAGAATAGTAAACAACTAATTAAATTTACGTGGTTATGATATTGCTAAATTTAAATCATCTGTTAAAAAGTTCCACTCAGGTATGTGATTATTTAGTAAGGTATATAAAAAAATTAATTATAAAGCGTATGAATCATGATATTACTAATCTTAATGCTATTAGAATATTGCTGGTACTGTACCACAGCAATATCTCATTATAGAGGAGTTTTCAAGTTTAGTAGCATAGCTTTATTCAGATTACTAGATAGTTCATACTTTACACGCCTTGTATTGTAATATGTGATATGTCATTAATTCACATTAGGTCGTATATGAATACATGATGATCCTGTAAATAGGCATAATGTAATCTTATGATCATATATTATTCATCAGATATCTATGCTCTAAATATTGCCGTATTAATTAAACATTTAGATATAAATTTACCCGATCACATAAGCGCTGTTGAAATTATTATAACTTCTGGCTCCAAGGAAAGGTATATAAAAAATAAAATTATTTCTTCAATTTAGTGCTTAACGTTAAGTTACAGTCGTACAAATCACTAAATATCTGAGGGTGTAATAACCGAGCAATAGTCCTCTGCTATTACTGTAGATTCACTTACCTAATCCAAAATTTGAATTAACAAAATGGAGTAATTCCTTAATGTGAAACACGAATATATTTTGCTATCATATACTGCCTTAACCGGAGAATCCCAGTCATCTACTAGAAATAGCACAAGTACGCCATCTCATCCTATTAGCTACCTGCTGTACTACTACAATTAACTAAAATCAATACAGAGGAATCAGAGATAAATGTTCCTAAGTATTACTTTAGACGGATTTTAGTGCCTTGATACGTATTTCAAGGCGACAATTTGTAGGCCTAGCTTTTTCGTTATTTTGGTCATAGAGCTGGTTTATGACACACTGGTATAGGGCATTAATAAAATTGATGCTAATTTAAAATTCCATATTGAATAGAAAATACTATTTGCGGTAAAAGCGTTTAACTAAGCCATTGATCAGTTTGTTAATAGGCATAGATGATATAACTTAGCTCAAATACAAATCTGTAGTGATTACTTGAATTGTCTCCTATAATTACAAAAACAATGGAATCATTACAAAATTTTTAACTACAAGTGCCTTTTTATTCCCATTTCATGCTCGATCATACTATAAAATTGGTATTTCAACTTTATCGCTTTAGAAGTCTCTTAGACTCTAGCTAGATTATACCGTAGCATTATCCTTATATAGAAGTAATATATTATTATGAATCATCCGTGTCTATAAGTAATTTCCTCCTGATGTGTCTTAACATTATAAAAGATATCTTCTTTCGCCTATCTCATTAGTTAGTTCTGGTAGTTACACGGTAAGCTTGCACACTTTACCTATTCTACACTACTATAGTTATTCGACTAATCACGTCGTTACTCGCGCGATAATCTTACACGATTAATCTCTTACACTAGCTCAATAAAGATTACTCTTCCATTAACTATTCTATTGTACTTTATTGCGACTAATGCCTAACTCTCAACTTTCCGAAACATCACAGCTATAATAGTTACTTAAATTAGCTTCATATAATTACAAATCTAATATAATCATTGTGAAAGTTTTAACTATAAGTGCCTTTTTATCTCACAAATTTTATGCTCTATTGCTGAAATAGCAATACTGCACCAATTTTTAAGTACCGTATACGAAATTAAAAATAAATAGGGTATTTGTAGCAAATAGACAAATAATTTGGTTTAGCACTTTAATCCTGGTACTATCATGTAAATTAAATAATCAATTAAGAAAATAGCTTCAGTTAGAAAATATATCGCCAGAGTAATCATAATTATCATAATAACAGCATTTATTTACAAGGTAGTTTTGCATTAAAGTAGCGTGCGGTGTGATTAGTGTGCATTGGCAAATGCACACTAATAGACCTATCGTATATGTAACAAGCAAAATATACCTTAGTGTAGCATAAAAATTGAAGAGGTGATGGGTTAGCTATAAATATTTGTTTTATATTGTAAGGTCGAATAAGTAATGTACGACCTTGTTGATCAGAAAATAATTGCAAGGATGATGCTCAAATATGCTATTTTTATTTACATCAACCGCATATTTATAAAATTGGTATCAAAACTCCGTCTTCTTATTTACAGTCTAATTAATACGATGTAACTTTATCAATAATAGTAATGCATGTATATATCATACGTATACGCGTATGCTTTTGGATAACTATGCAAATTCTCAATTCTAATTTTTGAGTAAAAGTTCCAAATACTTTGTGAGGATGCCCTGATATTACTAGCACAGCAATTATAGAACAATTATTTTGTATAAACTTGATTTTCGCCAGTAGGATGTCCATACCTACTTGCTAAGACCATCTTTGTTGATAGCTAAGATTCAAAAGCAATATAGCAACTATTGCCAATTGCAACGGCGTGTGATCTGTATCTGAAAAGAGCACATATTTCTTTTGTACAGTGAATGCCGTACGCAACATTTTGGGGTTGAACTATCTTAGGCTCACAAATCACTTACTGCGAAATTCGAAAT